TCCCTTCTCTTAGTCCCCAAACAAAACATTCAGTTGTTGTTGTTGTTTTTTTTTTTTCCCCAAGAGCACGAGGTCCCAATCTGGAAATACTCCAAGGCCTATCCTAGGTTCAAAAGGAAGTCTCAGCACTGGATCTGCAGAGGTTTGGGCCCACGACTGGTGTCCAGCTGATGTTGGCATTAACCGTCTGCAGATGTACAAATGCAGCATAAGAAAGCCCATTGCAAACCCTATCTCATCAGTCAGGCTGAAGGCCAAACTGGAAAGAAGGGAAGAATAAAAACTATTCCATTTAAAACAAACCAGTTAAATCAGCAGGCACTAAATTTTTGTTGCAAATGTGTTCACAGACTCATAGAATCAAAGCATTGAAAAGGACCTTAGGCTACCAACCAGTACAACCTTGTCATCTGAGATTTTATGCTTAGGAATAAAATTAACATGCTGCATGCCTTTTTGGCTTAAATAATATCTTACAGTCAAACCAACTGGGAAAATGAGATGGTAAGAAATTCCATCTGCATAATCTGAACTGGTTCATTTTCAACAGGCTTAATTAACCCAGGAGTGCTTGGCCCCAACCCTCTTCTCTGCCAGGGGCCCAGAATTATGAACTTTCTTGAAACTCCACACAATGGAGATATTATGGATACCGAGTGTGGTAGCCAGTTAGTTACCATGCCACATCAACGGCGGCAAACAAGTAACACAAACAGCCGCCACCCATTGGTTAGCCCTGCGGCTGACTCGGGCTTGGCCCTTCCCCAGCCAACAGACAAAGTGCTGAAGAGGGCTGCTTCCTGGTTGGATGCAATCTGCATAGATAGACTAGCTTTACAAGCCTGACCACAAGAGATTAATAAGCTTTAGCCAAATAATGTGGTAACCATGTGAACTGGGCTGCTCCAGCTTGTTTGTGAATCTCTCGGCAATGCCGTTATCTGCATCTTGTTGCTAAGAAACCCAACATCGCTTGGAAATACAAGGAAAACCAGGTTGCACTGACCACAGGTCGATCCCGTGGAAGATTCATTTTGGACACCAAGTTCCCTGAAGTCCTGAACCTACGGGTTCAGTTTGGGAACTTTAGGCAACTTCTATCCATTCAATTATCAATAATAATATCACCGTCAATATTGTCATTGAGGGGAATGATTATTATTGACAATAACAACAATAAAAACAATATTCACATAATGCTTAGGCAAGACATTGTTTTCCCCGCCCTGGTCATGATCCAGGGATGTGGCATCAGTGTAGGAAACTCCCTAGCCTAGTGTGAAACCTCCCTCTCAACCCAGCACCTGCTCAATCACTTTGAGCATGAGAAAGCACTCTAAATGACTTATCCAAGTTCACGTAGTCAGTGTAGGTCAGTGGCAGGACTCAGACCCAGGTCTTCTTGGCTATCAGAACAGCATTATATCCACCCTGTCAGGCAGGCATGCATACACACACACACACACACACCCCCACACCTACCTATATACACATATGTAATTGTATACATATATACAGATAGACACATGCATACACATATGTAGACACACATACAAACATCAGTAGATCTAAGATGTCTTTTGCATTGTGTATAATACATATTATCCTCACTAAAACTATTTTTAAAAGCCAGCACCCCTAAGCCAGCTTTGTAACTAACTCCCTAAGAGCTGCTCAAAGGTCAGCTTCTGTACTTTATCCCAGAACAGCCTTTAAGACAGAATAAAACATGGAATGTCCCAATGACCTCAGACTAGTTCCTGGATTTTTCTGGGATCAAACTGCTTTTCTTCCTCTCTCACTTTACTCATGGTAACAGAATGTAATGTGTTTGACAATGACCTTGATAAGTTTCTTCCTGGCTAGTTTAAATAGATATAAACTCAGTGTACTAAAATGCTGAAAGTATTCACCAGCCTGGAAATGTACTTCACCAGGGTGATGGGAAGGTCACTGCCCAATTTCCCAATCTGGAAATGGAAGGATTAAAGAGGCTGGGAGGGTGGGGATGGGTTTTTTTTTTAATTAATCACCCTGGTCACACCAATTTAGAACTGCTAGCTCACGTGTACCCTGGAAGAATTTGGAAAATATAGCTGTTCGCTAGAGAGGACCTAAAAAAATGGGGGCGGGAAGGAAGTCATTTTCTCCCACCTCATACTGCTTTCTTCCTCAAAGGAAAAATGGTTGCTTTTTAAAATCACAGAATCCCCAGAAAAGTCCTTATTATCCCAACAAAAAAGAACTGTGACACTGAGATACTTGAAAGATGTGTTTAGCTATAGTTCTGGCACAGCCTGACTTCCATCTCAAGGTGGCCTCAGGTAAAGCCTCATGCCTACATTTTCCCTACATTTTTCATTTAAAGACACAAAATGCAATCTCTTAATGTTCGTGATCAGTGATGAGCTGAATGGTGACAAGCTAATTGCAGTGAGTGACCTTGTCATCCTTCAACCAGCCTCGGTCCTACTACTCAACCTCACCACTAAGATTGAATTGTGGATAATACTCATTATCCTCACTAAAACTATTTTTAAAAGCCAGCACCCCTGAGCCAGCTTTGTAACTAACTCCATAAGAGCTGCCCTTAGAATGCCCAACAAATTGGAGAGTGGGGCCGTGAACTCTAGGCCCTACACTTAAGGAACGATGACCATCTCAGATATCTCCTCATTTCTCACCTGGACACATTGCTTTGGGAATTCTCCACCATGCCCCCAAGTTGGATACCTTACTCCCCCACCCCTAACTCGGTTAGAACGTGGGCTCCTGGAGGGCAAACATTGTCTTTCTTCTTATTTTATATCCAGAGCTTAGCTTAGCACACTGTCTGACATGTAACAGGTGTTTAATAATGTTTATCGAGGTAACTAGGTGGTGCAGTGGATAGAGTACCAGGCCTGGAGCACAGAAGACTGTCTTCCTGAGTTCAAATCCGGCCCCAGACTTTTACTAGCTGTGCGATCCTTGACAATTCATTTAGCCCTGTTTGAGTCAGTTTCCTCATCTGTAAAATGAGCTGAAGAAGGAAATGGCAAACCACTCTAGTATCTTTGCCCAGAAAACCTCAGATGGGGTCAGAAAGACGTGACAAAAAATGACTGAACAACAATGTTTACTGACTGACTGATCCCTCCCCCCAAGATAAGATAAGCATCTCCCTCCTTTCAGTAAAAGAGTGAAATATTCAGTACAATACTGCATATGTTGCCAGATGGGATTACTGAGTTAGCCAGTTTCTTAACTAGTTTTCTTTGGTAAGAGGGAGGGGGTCACTGGAAAGCTTTAAAGGACCAGATTTCTCTGATACCATTAATACATAGGGTGATAAACCTGAGGTCCCTTAACTTGGTTAAATTTGGGGGGGGGAAGGATAACTGAATTTCAATATAATTGATTTCCCTGGTCATCCTATGTACTTTGTTTTATGCATTTAAAGACATAATTCTGAGAAGGGGTCCAGAGGCTTCACTAGCCTTTCCATGAGGTCCAAGACACAAAAGAATGAAGAACCCTGGGGTCCTGAGGTCACTCATTGGAACAAAGAGAGTTAATGCTGAAATGAAGAAAGCTGGACAACTCACTCTGAGCCTGCTGGTGAGCTCTCAGACACGAGGACAAGAGTCATCCAGCTAGGAGTGTGGAGCCCACTCAGTTCCCAGGCTGCCGCCCCCCTTTGGCTTCAGCCCCCCCCCCCCCCCCCGTCCTACTAGCTTGTGACATTTGGAATTCCCAACCTTCTCTCATTGACGCTCTCCCCCCCTTCCTAACAAGTCTCAACTCTTGGTCATGAACACAATGCCATCATTAACAATCACTTCTTACACAGACCCAAAGAAAGAACTCTCCAGGCTATACCAGAATGGTTTTGGTCCAATAGCTTTGCACACCCTTGCAAGTTCTTTTTCTTTCATGGTCCTCTGTAGCTTTTCTCTTTTTTCAAAGTTCAGGGGAATTAGTACATGGACACAAATTCCCTAGACATTGATACCAAAAGAACTGGGCCATTTACCTAAAGCCTTCTTGTGTAAGGAACCAGAGTTTTTCCTATAACGGACAAAGCATACCTTTTGACCTCATTAAATATTAAATGACATTATAGTTAAAATGTGATCTTCCGGGCCAGAGACTTTTAACCAGTGGTCCATGTACTTAATTTTAAAAAATATTTTAATAACCATATTTCAATATAACTTATTTCCTTTGTAAGCCTATTGTATCTAAGAAATATTTTGTTGACAAGTGGTCCGGGCTTTACTCATCTGCCAAAGAGGTCCATGATACAAACAAGGCTAAGAACCCCTGTTCTTGGCTAAGGTACATTAAACAATTATCACAGTGGTTCAAAAAAAAAAAGGCTGTAAGGTCTCGATAAAAGGAAAAATAAAAAGGAATCTGATTAAAAAACTTTCTGGTGTCAACGAGGTACAAAGAGTTGTGTGCGATATAAGGAAAAACATCAAAAGGGGTTTGTTGGATTGTCTGAATTATTAGTAACTAGTCATAGCTCAGTCACATGTTGATTTGGGTGTGAAAATAATTCCAATGTGCCCCACAAATCACGTGGCAAGTGTTTACTGCTCAAGGAAATCCCAATGTATAAAAGCCAAATGTCTACACAAATTAGAGAGTAAAACAAAAAGTTTCACCATAGGAGTCTTTTAAGTAGCAAATTCCACACTGAAAAGATCCCTTGGCTCACAAAATTCAATCCACACCCAATTCAGTAAGAAATACCTTGCAGAAAATGTGGTATATTTTGATTTTCCAAATGCTACAGCCCTGATGGCCTTGGTAAGCAATGAGCATAAACTGCAATCACAGGGAGAAGTCAGAATTGTTTAAACAATTCTGTCCCTTTAAAAGGAAAGGTGGAAAATTCAGGAAGAGCAGTCTTGCTCTTCTTGAGCTGAATGGACAGACAAAAGCTTCCTGCAAACGTTAACTGGCCAGCAGCGGGCTGGGGGGTTCGGGGTGGCGAGCGGCCACTTACTTACCTGTACTTGAGTCTAACTCTGTCATTGTCTGGGTTGCAGAAGAGTCTTTCCAAGTGCTCCTGAGAATCGTTGGTTACACTCTGCCATGTTTGACTGGCCGTCCTCTTGACTTGCCAGTGGTAGGGCAAGACTGTGTGATGTTTTAAGCAGTCACTGCCATAAACACAACTGCCCTGCAAGAAATCCATGCAAATCTCAATCCCATTCTCCTGATGCGTGTGATATTGTAACTGGTTCAGCAGTTCAAATATCAGATCGAGGGAAGCTTCCTCACTCTTACCCTGGAAGAGTCCGGTATTCAACTTGTTGGTGGTGTTTAAGTTGTACTGGAGGGCATAATTGTCCTGTTGAAACAAACCAGGAATACAATCCATTGCCTTCTCTGTACAGTCAGGACTAACGGGGACATCGCTGGTGGCTGCGTGCAAGAGGGGATCCTGGAAGGGTCCCACAGCAGGATCGGGCACAGTTCCATTGGTAGTTTCTGATGGGAAGCCATGGTCTTGGGATGGGACCACCTGCTCCGTATCCTCTGAGGAAGGATCTGCTTCTGGTATCGGTCTCCCGACATCCGCCCCTCCAGATAGAAGAATGCTCATATCACTGCCCACTGGTGGGCATGGTGAATTCATTCCCAATGTTTTTTTTACAGTTGGCTGGCACAGACTGCTACCACCATTTCCACTTGGGTTTATAGGCATGAAAACGCCATCAAGTGAGCCCGATTCTAATAAGGTGTTTAATATTGGCCTCAAGGTTCTTAAGGTTCCTGTGCTGAGTCTCTTCTGAACTTGCTTTTTCTTGAAACAAGTCTTCACTGGTGCTATCTTCTCAGATAGTCTCATCTGGCAAGGAAACTCATCTGGAGGACAATGAGGCTGGACGATACAGGCTGTCCCTGACTCGGCTTCCATCTTTTATGAAGTACAGAGTCACCTTCTTGACTATTCAAAGATCAGACCAGAACCTAGGCAGGAAGAAAAGCGTACCAATTAGAATCCTCTATCATTCATTGATCTGGGCTATCAGATTACCTCTGCCATCAGCTGCCTTGGCTAACAGGTTCATTTGAAAACTGGTGATAAATTGAGTCCTCCCTCAGACACTTAATAGCTATGTGACCCCCGGCAAATCTTCACTTTTGTCCTGGGAAAATCAGGAGGCCTACCCACCTCACTGGGCGGAGAGTATGGAGATCAAATGAGATAACATAAGGAAAGCACTTTGCAAACCTTCAAGTACCCTATAAAGACCAACTATTATTATTATTGTTGTGGTTCTCTGCAGTGGTGGGTGGGGATGAGTAGCTAAGGCTGTCAAGCTCAGATGTAGTACTGTGTGGTGTTGTAAATTGTCTTTTTCTCTTTCTTTTTCATTCATTCATTCATTCATAAGGAATTGATCTCTGGAGGGAGTGGAGAGAATATATTAAGGACAAAAAGGTCATGTAAAAAGAATATCTCAATAAAAATGTGGAAAACTGGGTGACCACAAAAACAACTAGTTTATTCATTCAACAAATCGTATTACCATGCCAATGGTAACGTAAGCATTAAGCACTCACTACTACTAGGTCCTCGATTAGGTGCTATGTCAGACGCTCAATCAGTCAATCAACTAATCAGGGTCCTCCCAACTTGCAAGAAGCACAGATTCTATTAGGGGGAAACAACAGGAACTCCGGCAAATGAAAAATACTGACAAAATAAATATAAATGAGGGGGGAGGATTAGGAAAGCCCCCACCCCTCCCCCCACTCAGGAGATAGCATGGGTAATTCTACAAGGCAGAGGCAGAGAGAGGCAGGAGTTCATTCAGGGCTGAGGGATGATAGTTTATGAAAAGACACAAGAGAGTAGATGGAAGGGGGAATACGGATAACAGCAAATAGGGTTCTCCAGGGAAAGAGAATTCACAAAATGCTTCTCTGGGAATGGATATACCAAATCCCAATTCTTCTGCTTTCACAAAATCAGATTTGAATTTCACCTTGGCACCAAGGGCTCCAAACAGGTGGAGCTGTTCCAGAGACTCGACAAGAGGCATGAATTATTGCCTTCCCTCCACACCCCACAACCCCCAAATGTTACTCCTGATTTAAGAGTGCGAGAAAAGGAGGCAGCTAGCAACAGCGACATTAATTACTATTCATAGCTATGTCAGGAAAAAAAAAATGACGAGTCCCAGCTTTCCAGAAAACCATTTGGAAGGAAGGAAATGGAGCTAATTCTAGAGGCATTTACTCAGTGCCTACTATGTGTCAGGCAGCGATACGAGTACCTCAGCCTTGCTGAGGTCGTAGAAAGAGGGTTAGCTCTCTGAGAGGAATCTGCCCCCTTAAGAAAACCAGGAACTTCACAAGAACCATGAAGGGAACACCAGGAAAATAAGACATGTTCATTCCCGTGCCAATTCACCTATGATTGTACTTATCTAAAACAACCCTCAAAAAAAAAAAAACCCTTCCAAAGCATTTAGGAAGCAGCCGGTGGGGCTGAGACGGCAAGACAAAACCGAAAGCAGCCTTCTACTCTTTAAGTCAAGTTGCCCACAGTAGTACCCCAAGCTTCATCAAGGTACAAAGAGAGTAAAATATTCTTGAGCGTTGGCAGGGGCCTTATCACCGAATTGGGGAGACCAGGCACACGTGAAAATGTGTCCACCCCCTTCCCTCCCACAGTGGGATAAATTGTCAGAGCTAAAAAAATAAAAATTTTTTTAAAATGTTAAAAAAAAAAAGAAGAAAACTAAAGGAGGGTGGGCTACAAAGTATCGATATTGACAAGTACACAATGGTTACAAAAGGCGGAAGGGACGGAGAGTCCTGGTGAGCCAGGGCCCCCGCCGAGGCTTCATGAAAAAGGTGAAACCTGACAGCCGTCATCAATCAAAAGGAAACCGGCCAACCGAGGCTTCATTCTCCATTACTTAGCGATCTCCCCTCAGGGAATTACTAGTCCAGCCAGTTCATGCCTCTCCCAATGCCCCACCACACCCAGTCCAACCGCCCAGGGAGCCCCGAAACTCATCCTCTCCTCCCATAGAAGCACAGGGCGAGCACGACCTTTAGCACCAGACAAACCAAAACAAGGGCAGACCTGGCTCTCCCTTTCCCCCGACGTCTGCCTAAGCTCCCCGGCGCAAGGTGGAGGCTGGGCACGCAGCGCGCGCTCGCTCACCCGAGGCTTTCTCCAAACTGCAGCGGCAAAGGAGGGAGACACAGGAGCTGAAAGCCAGAGCGGGTGCGACTCAAGCGGGCCGGCCTCAACAACAGGCTCGGGGGTGAGGGGGGTGCCGCAGCACTGGCCTGGGCCCCTCTGCTGCTAACACCTGGCTGCCCTGCTAGCGCACTCGCCTCCGATGCCTCTGTCCTGGCTAGCTCAGCTCCCTTGCCGCTTCCCCAAGGGCAGAGGAGGCAGCAGCAGCTACCAGCTCATTGTCAGGTGCAAACCCAGAAGCCTCCCGTCCCCTCTCACGAACCTGCATGCCCTGTCCTTGTGTCACTAGACATCTGACTCACAGGCACTTAGTTGCACTCGGCTTCTCTCTCCCACAAGCGCTCACATCATCCCTGGAGGGATGGAAGAGGAGCCGTTTAAAGCCCCAGTCCTGCACTGCCTCCTGCTGGCCTCTCCTGGGAAGGCAATGCCCAAGCCAGAGCCGGCCTGCAGCCTTCAGGAGCTCCAAGAACCCCCAGGGTGAGAAGCCTCGCCGGAGCTAATACATGGGTAGGCGCCCGACCCAAAGGGCTAAGGAGTAGGGTCCAGGATGGAGCGGGTCTACGAGGTGGATGGATGGGAAGGCCAGACTGGCACCCAGGCAGGACTGGCTACAAAAGGGCACTCTCGAGTCCCCGGCTCTGAGAGCGCACATCTCGCCTCCTCACCCCCACCGAAACCTCCTCCCAGCCCACTTGTCCCTGGTTAATTTCCATCCTGTGGGCACTTAAACCTTCTCTAAGGCGGAAGGTTAGCGCTGACCAGACCAAAGAAATAAACAAAACCTTTCCGGAAAAAGTGTTCCCGCTGCTCTCAGGAGCTTGGGAGGAGAAAGGGAAAGAAGAGAGAAAGAGAGAGAAAGGAGGGTGGGTGGGGAGAGAGAGAAGAAGAAGAGAGAGAGAGGGAGAGAGAGAGATAGACAGAGGGAGAGACAGAGAGAGACAAAGAGAGAGAGAGAACGAAGAGAACGAGAACCTTCAGACAGATTCCTTGAACAGACAATCGGAAAACCAACTGCCATCCTGGGTGACTGCCTGCCTGGGTCGAGCAAGGTCAGCGAGAATGACCAAATACTCTTTCTGGGGCACTCGCAATGCCCCCATACCGGGGGGCCAAACAATTTCCCACTGTGGCTGGCCCCAAAGCCGAAGCTTCCCTAACCCAGAGGACAGGAAGCCCAGTGCGGGGCACCCCTGTGTCCCAAGACAAAGCAACATCTCCTGCCCTGCCCTGCTATGCTGTGCCCAGGGCAAACCCTGGTGCACTCGGACACACTGAGAGAATGCCATCTGAGAGGACAAGAGACAGCCCAGGAGGACGCAGTCACATTTTTTCCCGCTGGCAGGGGATACGAGTAACCCATAAGGATAGGGCTTGACCGTCCCAACCTTAAAGAGGAAAAAAAAAAAAAAGATCCTCCAGATCCCAAGGATTGGGGAAACAAGGGTGCAGGGTGCGAGAATAGAAAGGCCTGGGGGCGGATGCCCTAGAATCTGTCCAGCCACCGTCCCCTCCATGAAAAAACCTTAACAATAGGACCCCCGACAACACTGGGCACCTTGTCTGTCTGCTGATCTCTCCTTTCCCTCTCTCCAGAGCTCCTGCCAACCCCAGGAGCAGCCACTTCCTACCCGATCCCCCAAACTTTTCCACCCCTACACGCCGGGGATTAGGGCGAGCTCTCAGCTCTCCCTTCCACCCTTTGTTGGGGGGTGGGACAGAAGTCCAGAGCAGGCAGAAGATGCTGACTGTGAATGAGGGGGGCTGTGGCCATGGAGGTGGGTGATAACCATGGCGCGGAGGGTGATCGTGCCCACCCAATACCCCTCTCCCCAGGCCGCAGCCAGATTCTTTTTACCTGCACCAGCAGCTGCGGGGCACCGAGGGCCAGGGGCAGCCGGCACCGCGAGGGACGTGACAGGCGCTGCCGCGGCTCCCCACAGAGGTTAGGCGAGCCTGAAAGAATATGCTCCCGATTCCCCCACCCCCCCAGGCTGTCCGGAGCTGGAGCCGACTGGCCGGGGCAGGCTGGCCGGGGCTGGAGCCGACTGGCCGGGGCAGGCTGGCCGGGGCTGGAGCCGACTGGCCGGGGCAGGCTGGCCGGGGCTGGCCACTGGGAGGACGAGCAGCCGCACCAGCAGCAGCCTGGGCATCTAGGGCGCGCAGGCTTCCCGTTCTCGGCTGCACTGAGACACCATGCCCCGGGTGGAGGGTGGTGGAGCCCACTGCTTTCGCGTGGAAGCAGCCTCTCTGCCTCGCTCCGCTCGCCCAGCGTCACTGGCTAAGCTGTTTTAAAGTGTTTCCTGTAAACCACTGTCCCGGCCCCCTGACGACTAGGGGCGGAGCGAGAGGAGAAGGCAGGCTGGCTGGCGAGCTGCCGACTAGGGGGAGTGAGACTGAGCACTGAGACTGGCTGCCCAAAGGATACCCAGTTGGGAAGCCCTGCCCCGTTCTCACACCTCCGTCTGCAGGCTCCTCCCTCAGAGAGGGGGAGGGGGAGGGAGAGGGAGAGGGAGAGGGAGAGAGGGAGAGAGAGAGAGAGAGAGAGAGAGAGAGAGAGAGAGAGAGAGAGAGAGTG